TCTGGCATATCCGAACCAGCTTAGATGATAAAAAAGGGACGCTCCTTTCTTCCTATTCAAGACCTCTAGGCAAACCTCCAAGCCACAGCCTCCTGTGTGACAGCTGCAGAAAACAGGTCTGGAGAGGACCTTGAAATGTCACCCAGATCGCAGCCCCGTGACTGGGTCTGCAACGGGGCCAAGCACAACAAAAGCCAAAATCACTCCAAGCATTAACAAATATTGTTGCTCAGCGCACTCCCGCGCAGCTGCCAGCGTATCTGCCGCCTGCGCCTTCCAGCACCGCAGCGCAGAGAACACACATATTTATGAGAGCATCTTCTACGGATTTAGAGAAAGAGCAATTAGCAGTTCAGTCGTTGACAAAATCATGGTGGTGGTAAAGCTGATTTGTGCTGATCCGTCAGCACGACAAACTACCTCCTCTCCTGCAGGTGTCCCCAGTAACTGAAGGGCAGGATCAGACCCCCCAGGCCCCAGAAAGACATCGGGACAGCCACTTCGTACTCCCCAACTCGCGTCCTGCTTGCGAGGAGCTACCAGCTCTCCCCACAAGGTCACCAGCTCAGCACACCCAAATGTGTACTCACCGGTACCCTTGGGTTTGTTTCAAATCTCCGGCAATGCTCCCTTTACTCCTCTGACCATTTCCTAAGGAACAACAGAGAGAAAAAAAAATAAAAATACAAAAACCTTCATCAGACCCAGAACGGAGCTTCTGGTTAAGAAGGGCTGGCTCTGGAGAAACCTTCCTGCCAGGACGATGAGGAACCACTGAACCAGGCCTGCTCCTGCTCTCCTAGCACCTGTGTTTCCACGGTCAGTTCAGCTCTTTCTCTGCTCATCACCCTTCCCTCATGCCTGTAGCACAAAATCACCTAGCAACACCGTGCCATGGAGGTGCAAACCCAACCCATCCTCCCGCTGTATCACATCTCCTGTGACAGCTGGGAGATGAACAGTCTGGAAAGGGATCCCATCAAAGCAGCGTTGGCTGCTTCACCCATCCCACCCCCCAGCTAAACGTTATGCCTTGGTCCCTTTGGAATTATCAACTTCCTGGGTCTTCCGACACCCATAGCTCGGTTGTCAGTGGTAGCTCAGTGGTACCTGCAGTGGTACCCACAACAAACCCATGTCCTGCAGGTGATGGGGTGCAGAGGGGGAAGGCTTACAACCAGCATCCCCTCACCTCTGCCCATACAAGTCCTCCGCCCCTCTTAGCTTGGGAAAAACTTTGGAAAAATGAAGCTCTACAGAATTTCCTGGCCATCGCATAGCACCTGCAAATGATGGAGATGGCAGGCTGGCATTCTCGAGCACAAAGCTGACACCTCCATGCAGGAGGAGTTAGGCGAGTAGGACCATCACCAGCTTGTGCCAGGGGAGATAACGAAACACACTGATGGCTGCTGACACGGGCTATGGGGTGGCTGGCAAGGGACAAGGTGGCCAGCAGCTGGGCTGAAGGCAGGCAGGACTCAGAGGGCTGCTGAAGGAGATGGGCATGAGCATGCTTTGGGGGATCTGACTCTGCTCCAGCACAACCTCAAGGTGTGAGACTCCCACCAGCATGCAGCCATCATATTAACGGGATCCAGAACCCTCCCAAGTACATCTGGGGGGGGTGACCCAGCTCTCCTCCTCGGTAAGGACAGAGAGGAAGACCACCGTGGCTGTTACAAGACCAGGGCAGCTGAGCACACAGTATGGGAGTGCATAGCCAGAAATTGCTCCTGT